CACGCTAAGGATAGGTATCGCAACAAACGGAAGTCCGGCAGCTCCAAAGATCGCAGCCGGAGCAGATCGAATTCTCGGTCGGGGTCCAGATCACGCAGCAGATAAGCACGGTGTGTGTGCACCTTTCGATCTTGATCTTATCGTAAATCATTGTATGCGCTTATGAACAACGATCATTGGTCTGTTCTTTGTTTCAAGAATATTTTTATAATATGCCGAGAATATTATGTGACGTGTACAACGTTAATAGAATATTCCTGTGTAATATTAAAAAATATTACATAGCATCCTTGGAATATCATAGGAATATTATTTTAATATTAAAGAATATTCGTATAATATTCTAGAGACATTACGCGCTTGTAGTTCAAGTCGAAGTGAGAAAACATATATACTTGTCCCGCTTCGACTTATCGCATTAGTTCAGCGGTGCAGCTGTAAAGAACAGACCACAGATCATTCTTACGAACAAACGTGGTAACGTGGCGACGATATTACATCGCTGGCTTTTGTTTTCAGACACAGACGACCGATGTTCGATGGGACGATCTTTCATTGGCAATTAGGAAGCTACGATCGTTCGATCGTACGATGGCAGATCTATCCCTCGGCGCATACAGAAGCCACCTGTTCTCTTGTTTACGCGGACGCATTATATCGCCTTAGGTTACAATGGATTGTGATTCCGTGCCGGACGAAGAGGGGACACGCGCATCACGCATTATTTATTTTCGACTGTGGTATTTCTTTTTTTCCTTTTCTAAAGCGTCCCGCCGAAATGTTTCGTCGCTACCTATGAGGAGCTCTAATGTATTTCGATGTTCAATAAAATGTAGCTTTTCTGTAGAACTTCTGTGTTCGATTGTGTGTGTGTGTGTCATCGTGCTGTCCACCGTACGCCGAAATCCCAGGAACACAAACTCCCGTGGAACAAGTGCGCGCCCACGAGCGGCGCAAAAGTTCTCCGTTTTCTCCTCCGTCCCCGCCTACCCCGTTCGGAATACATCTGCGTGTCTGATCGCGATCAACGCGGCGTCGCCCGCTTTTCTTCTCTCTCCTCGAGCTTTTTTGCGTCATTGGTACTCGTCGACGGCAGACGAGAGTTAATAGGCGTAGAGACCGGTGGTGCGATCCGGTTCGCGTTGCATTTCAAGAGCGTAGGAAGGACGCACCGGCGAATAGACGGGTGATAAAAATCCACGCCAGTTTACAGCCAGAAATCACTTCGGACGAGATGTTTCTTGCAGACTTTTGATGATGCTGAAAACGACTTGCCGCAAACCAAATCTCAGGCAGGATTCGAAAATAATTGAGATTTCACGCGTAAAAAATGACTTTTTTCATATTTCACACTTTTTTTTTGTAAAAAGAGTTAACATTATCGAATTTGTATGAAATAACACGTATTTACGTAGATTTTGTGCTGCTGATAGGAGTTCGTGAACTCTCATTGAATCCAGCTGTATCCGGGTGGTAAACTGCTGGTAATTACGAAATCAGCCTCTCGTGCTTTTCAACGGATTCTTTGTGCCAGTGAGTAAGTTTTCGTTGCTGTTTTGGCGATCTTATACTCTTTACCGAAATTGTTTCCGATAAGTTCAAAGAAATTCTACTCAATAAAAGGAGTCAATTATCTTTCAAAGATGTCAATAAGCTCGAAGAACTTATCAAGTCGCACAAAGCAGAATTGCTTAATACTTCCGGAAGTAATGTGGTTTATAAATTGTTTTGTAGAAATTGTTACGCATCCTGAATAGAAGTCAAGACAACTAAGAAGCAGAATTAAAGAAAAAAACATCCTAAGTACAAACATAAAATTACCATCACGATTACTTACTGTGAAATTACGGTAAGATGGTAATTTATTGATAATTTTGATAAAATTCGTTGTTCCCGAGTTTCGTGCACGAATAGGTGGTATTCATATCTTCCGCACTAACCCAAGTAGCAAAGCGACGTTAAATGACGTTTTAATGACGTCTTATTGACGTTAGAGGCATCATTAAAACATTATTAAGGGCTCATTTGACGTTACTTTTGAGTCAGATTTCGATCTCTAATTTTAAGAACACTAACAAACACGATTCAGGCAAAACTTACAACAAACGACGGGCGCAGATCATCTCTCTGTCGTCTCCGTCAACCGGGATAGCGTAATTGGCGCGAAAAATAAGACCGATCGATACATATTGACATACATTAATTGCAGCGTGCAGATCAACTTCGGACGACACTGTCAACGGCTGTCTTCGCAGAGAGAGAGAGAGAGAGAAAGAGAGAGGAGGGGACGAAAAGAGAAACGCACGTTCATTGAGCATTCGTCGCAGCGCGGCCTAAATTCCAACGGTTCGACACCTATGGCACGCGGCCCGAGGGGGATTAAGGAGCACGCCGGAGCGAGGGAAGTGGGGTAGAAGCAACGAAGGGAAACGAACGAGACGCACGCGAAACACGGAGGCACATCGCGGCGCGGGGCGGCGAAGCCGGCTGAAGAAAAAGAACCGGAGTGGAGAAGAGAAGAAGGAGGAGGAGGAGGGGGAAGAGAAGAAGGAGCAGTAGTAGTCGGAGTAGTTGGAGAGCCGACGCGATGCGGCAGTGAGGCATCGTGAGACGCCGGTGCCGTCGTGGGTTCCTTCTCCGCTCGTGTCCGCTTCGTGCGTGCCTTTTCACCAGAAGGAGCCGACGATCCGATCGCGCCGGCGAAAGCGAAATTCCTCGGGCGGGCTAATTACGCGCTCGCCCGCCTGCTCGTATTCGCGCGTTCCGCGTGGAAAGCGGCGAGTTATTGCGAGCGAGCGAGTAATCGGGGCCAATTGGGAGCAGCGCGATGACTTCCGCGTACGACGAGGCGGCCGCTACGACGACGGAGCACGAGAAGACGAAGCTCGCCGGCCGAGAGGTGGACAACAAGCCGGGGACTCCACCCGGCATGGAAGAGAAGAGATCGTCGTCGCCCATCAGTCTGGCAACAGGTGATCGTGCCACCGGCGGCGAGGAGTCGTTCGCGGCCTCCTCCTCGGCGGAGATTCTGCCCGGTGAGTCGCTCGACGAGGAGGACTCCGTCGCGAGCGTGCACGACGATGACGACGAGGAGGAGACCGGTGGACGCGAGGGAGACGACGATCCGGACGATCCCAAAGCGGATCCGGACTGTTCCTCGAGTTCGTTGAACGAATTGTCGGACGACACCTCGCGAATGGATAGATCCAGGAATAAAGGATCTTCTTCCGAGGACGAGCGGGAGGAGGCCGGCGGAAGCGGATCCGTATCGGCGAGCGTCATCGGGCAGCCGAAGAATGCGGCCACGTGCGGAAAGGTGAAGGAGCAGGCTGAAAGGAATCTGAGCGCGGGGGCGGAGCGAGTGCAGGAGCGGCGCGACGACGCTTCCGTCGTCGTCGAGGAGGAGCCCCGGGGCGGGGATTTGGGGCGAACTCGGTGCGAGGAGGCGCAGGAGGAGCCCCGTCCGGAGGACGCGCAGGATCAGGTCGAGATCAGGGAGATCGTTCAAGGCTGCCAGAGCGGCGGCGGGTTCTACGAGGCGGTGCGATCGGGAAACGTCAAGCGCGTCTCCGCGCTGATCGCCGCCGGCTGCGTGCAAAACCTCGACGAACCGGATTGGAACGTGTCGGGCGATCCACCCCTATTGGTGGCGGCCACGAACCAGTGCCTACCTGTGCTCAGGTAAATTTCTCGCGAGCGAGCGAAAGAGCGCTCGGCTCGGGCGATGCCGCGTATGAGATAACAGTTCGAGATAACAGTATATCTCTCACGCGAATTTCTGCTCCCGACGGTATCATTCCAGGGTATCGCCACGGGCCCGGAGAACCTGGGGAAAGTAAAAGCGGAAATGTTAAACGTCAGGGAAAATCCGGAAATGATGTGAAACAAAGCTGGAATTTCAACTGTATTCTTTTCTTCGATTTGCATTCGTTTATTTCTTATTAGCCTGAATTTATATTCAGGGTTTTATTATGTTACTAAAGTTTTAAGTTTACACTGCTCCCTTCTAGTGATATAAGCTACCTCTCGTTGCTTCTGAAACGCTAAAGTTTAAGATTACATATCGCTCGTGGAAAATTTTCCAACTGTTGTCTGGAAAACGTGGGCAAGTCGGGGGGAATTTCAACATTCATTTTCTGCGGCAGCACTGTTCCGATGCGGAACGTTGAAAAGCCGCCGACTAATCGCGTTGTGTCTATTCGATCTTCAGAAATGTCCACTGTGGATTCCATTGCTGTTCAGAAGATATCATTGTATACGCATGGAAAAGACGGTTCCGCTGCTAAAAACGATTACTCAGTTTTGTTTACTCAGCTCTCGGTTTACTTTCCTTCCTTCAAGTAATATTTATCTTCAAGAACGGAGAATATTTTCTTTGATAATAGTCTCGAAACATCCTCACCGCAAATTCCAGAAATGCTTATTATTATACTCGAGAGAAGAATTTCTTCTCTTTTCATGAATATATTATAAAACTTACCGCCGAGAGAGGTTCCTCCAATGCCTGATATTTATCCAGCACGTTACTGACGAACGGATGCGACCCAGCTGCGCGTTCCCCGCGCGGCGAAACGGCGCTGCACAGAGTGATTCAGAACGGTGGGCCGAGCAACGTGCTGAAATTCGTGGAGGACCTCTTGAAGCACGACTGCCCCCCGAACGTTAAAGAAGCCGGCAGCGGCTCGACCGCGCTGCACGTGCTCTCCCGTCAGCTCGCTCACACGCCGCTGAAATCCCTTCACCACAACTTCGACGCGGCCCTGAAGACGCTGGAGCTGCTGGCGAAGGCGGGACTAGTGAACATCAAGGATCACCAGGGCCGGAGCCCTCTGCACATCTTGGCCTCCTCGGCGATCTTCGGTACGACACTTGAATTTTATATATTATAGATTAACGATCAAAATATGCTTAAGAAAGTCAAGAATGTTAACATATCGAGCTGTCGTCGCCCGATCCAGCTTCCTTCTATAGATTGAACTGGAAGAAATTACATTTGATGAGGATTAAACGAAATCGCAGCGAGAAAACATCGCAGAAATAATGTGCTTTTTACTGCAACCAGAATTTACGCTGATGACATTGTTTTGAATGAAGTTTGTTAGATCGGTAAAAGGCTTAATACTCCTCGACTTAAAAGAAAAAAAACATATCTCGATATCTTCGTTCGTTCTTGAAATATCCTTTTATCTCGACGAGATTCAGCAAGAATTTTGGGTATACGTTTTTCCCCCGACGTCAATTAATCGAGATAGCTACGACGAGGAAACAGGAACTTTCATACGTTCGTTACTGGCTTTACACATATGTTACGTAAGAATCTCACGCGAGAAATTAGCATCGCACGCATGTGATGCAACGATCCCTTGCGAGAAACAATCGTCACATACGTACGGCGGTAAGGGCCGGTCTCATCATCTCCGATTAACTTAATCGGCCGATTATTCCATTGAAATTGACCAATCGTATTTGTCGTTAAGCAGAATTGACCAGAATTAACCAATCACGGCCGATTAAGTTAATCGGTGATAGTGAGGCCGGTTCTGAATCTTTTTTCCATATCCGCATTATCGAACTAAGTTTATTTTACATAATTACATCAAAAAAACCAAACAAAATGAAAGAATCCGCCAAATGAGTCCTAATAGCGATTACTTTAAAACGGCGCTTGGATCTCAATATTTTCTCACTAATCGGCCCGAAATGGGGTTAATGGGTTAATATCGCGCGCTCAATTCGTTGATTGCTTGAAAACGACGTCCGGGCGCGCGGTATTTCCCCGGTTGAACGTTCACGCGCGGTGTGGCTTCTTCGAAGGGACGGTTTCTTCTGCCGCGTGACGTCGAAGTTCCCGGCCTCCCACATCCGTGCGCCGGTCTAATCGCGGCGAAACTCTGAGATTTCGCGCTATTTTCGCAGATAACAACGAGCGGGGCCACATCGAGTCGTTGATCGCGACGCTGCTAGAAGCCGGCGCGGACACCGCCCTGAAGAACGACCGGGGCGAGACGCCGCTGCACGAGAGTCTGGAATGCGGCGCGCTTAACACGGCGGAGCTCTTGGTGCCGCGCACCCCGACCGGCATCACGTCGCGATACGGCGAGACGCCGCTGCACATCGCCTCGCGGAAGAACTACGTCAACATGGTGACGCAGCTGCTCGGCCACGGGGAGGACCCGGGCGCCCAGGACGCCGGCGGGAACACGCCGCTTCACTTGGCGGCCGCTCGCGGATTCCATCAGACTGTCTCGCAGCTGGTCACCTCGCCGTTGGCGCAGCTGGAGAACGTGAATATCGACGGGCTGACCGCGCTGCAGGTCGCGACCGAGAGCAGATTCATCAACGCCGTGAGGATACTGCTGAAGGCCGGCGCCGATCCCAGCCAGATCACGCACTATTGCGCGACTATATTGCGCCAGCATCCCGACATCTCGCTCCTCGTGAACCACGAGATCACCAGACGCCGACAGCTCGCCGCCTGATCCGCGGAGTCGATTCTCCCTTCACTGCCGCCCTGTTCTGCGAGAGCCATGGCAGAAATGCGTACGCAGTAAGACTTCAAGCGTAGCCTACGATTGACGGTAGGAATATGCTTCGCGAGAAGTAAGAATGAGAAACTGACCGATCGTATTCGAATGTAAGGAGAATCGACATACCGATTATGATTGGTTCATTTCTTACTCTTACTTTTTGCAAACATACTCGTATTGTCCGTTGTAGAGCACGTTTTGAGCATTAAAAAAGAATCGACCAATCACAGTCGAGTGTTACTTCGACCGTAAGGAGATAATCGACCGGTGATTGGTCAATTTTCTTGCTGTTTAAGTTCTACTATTTACATTTCTGTGCGTGTGCCATGGCTCTGACTTTTAACAATGTCGTTATCGTTGAATTGTCGGTGCACACGGATGTTAGATCTGTTTGGTTCGATGAAAGAATTCGTTCCTCGGGTTGGACCATCGGCTGCGTTCCGACACGCGACTTATCGTATAACAGGCCTTAAAGTTATAAAATAGGCCGGGTTCGTTCAATTGTCGCTATTATTGTTATTAGGAATTATCCACGTGCGATGCCACGTCACACTCGTTGCTCAATATCGCGATACGCGCGGTCGATCGCGCGAAATTGTGTGTGCACAGCAATCGTAAGCGTCGCAATAATAGGTTTGTTCTTCACAGCTAAATCGGCTGTGCCAAATCAGGAAGTGCATTCCTAAAGCGTTCCTTACCAATGCGGTGGAACTCGATTCGCAAACAGTTCACCGTACTGGCTGCGCTAAATTTGGAGCCGATGCAAGCAGTGCAGCAGAGGATAGTCGAGTAAGCCAACACTTTCGAGTGAGAGTGCGAGAAAAGATCGAATATCGTTAGATCATTAAATTACTGTACTTTCACTCTCCAGCGTTCACGATACGTGTGGACATGCGAAGCAATGCACCTCAGTGATCCTAGTTACATTCGAATTTTCTAGTTTGCTTCTACTTCGAAAGTTCACACTTTTAGATTAGACTTTTACTATTTACTGTACTATTAAAACTGTTTTACTATCGAAACAAAAGTTGAAACAGTAAGAGCCAAAGTAGAATCTTTCCTAGACACTGAAAAGACTTTACGGTATATATTTATATTTTAATATATCGCGTTTAACCTTCAAATATACAAGTTACAGTCGTCGCCAGTTACTACTGGAAATAACAACTGCTCGATTCTACAGGTGTAACGCGGCACATCATGTTATTCTTGCATTGGAACGTTCTTTGTTCCTCGACTGTACACTTGCACTCGTCAATTCAGTCCTAACGCAGTCCCAGTTCGACTATAAAGGACTATAAAGGACAAACCTAATGATAATTAAAAATCGTCGATGCCACAAATTTGCTGGCTGTGGATCGAAGTGCATTTGATTCGAGCGACCGGCGACGCTCGCGCGTCCTCGCGATTTAGAATATAAACATATGTGTATATGTGTGTGTGTGTGTGTGCGAGGGGGGCACGTTTCATTGCGGAGAAATTTTAACGTCGTTATCGCCATCGCCGTTCTCATCATCATCGTTGTATCGCCGCAATCTCGCCGATAATTTATCAATGTTATCGCTCTGTTGGCGTTTCACAGTTGCACGTTCACTCGTTATCGATCGAACGGGGGATGTTAATAAAATGAGACGGTTGCGAAGTTCTCATATATAACGTTATTGTATATTTTATAAATCCATGACCTGAAATGAAGCGAAAAACGGGAACGAAGAATAAATCGGGGAGCATACTGTTTGGGGGCGTCTATATATGTACAACTACGCCGTATATAAACGGACCTTTAAACTACTTCTCTCGAACTATCACATAATATCTGGAAGGCTGTGTTTTTTTTCTTTTTTAGAGTTACGAAATAAATATTATACAACGATCGTACAATGTACATGATGTAATTCACTACTACATTCTGCTTGTTTTCAACATCGAGAAGATACCGTATAAAAATAAATACGTCTCCCTATCTTTCATCATTAGGCTTCCTCCTCTTTCCGTTATTATGCGTGGGATAGAGAGAGAGAGAGAAAATATATATATATAGTATAACGTAAAAAAAAAAAAAAAAGAGAAAAAAATCGTAGACATGCTTTGCGATAACATCGATGCTTATCTATTACAAACGGTACACATCAATCGCAACGCAACATCTATCGCAACAGCTGTCGGATTTTTTCTTTTCTCAATTTGACACCGTAAATCCGCACAGTCAATTTAGAGAAGACTTATTGCATTGCAGTCGCGTACACACAAAACTTTCGGGAAATCTCTGCCAACTCTGAGGATGCGCGTAAAAATCGTCGGCTCGCGTGCATATTTAATAAAGCGGTAAACGTTCGACATTAAACGAGTATTTTGAAACGAACCGTGGAGATTTCTCATCGATGATGGATGCGTGAGATTCGAAAGTAAGAATCGAGAATTATACGCCAGGCAGATACGTAATACTGTCGCGCGAATGAACGCTGAGACACGTTTCCCCCGTCTTCTCGTGGTTTACTTAATAAGAAGCTCTTACGGTATTACGCATAATTAGGGTATGGGCGTATGTTACGGTATATATGTTACATATATACAAGGTGGAGCATTTAATAAATTGAGACATCTTGATACAACAAAAATAAAGAAAAATAAAGCAAAATAGAAAGAAGCGTTTCAGACAAAGTTGTAGAGTTTGGAAGGGGGTATATATTTTGGTGACAACTTCGTTACCCCAACCCTACTATAATTCTTGTCTGAAACATTTTGTTTTTGTTTTGCTTCATTTTTGTTACATTAAGATGCCTCAATTTAAATGCCCGACCCTGTATACGAATACACACACGTTTATACATACATTTCGATGTATACGTTATATACGATGGTACAGCTTCTGTATTGCATATTCGCGATTCTTGCGAAATAACATTTTACTGCTCGCCAGCCATATCCATTTTGCACGCTTGCGCAGTCAGCACAAAGGCCTAAACTATATCTTCGAGCTCCGAACATCCTTATAAAACGGATTTACGCTACTTTCCCTCGTTTTTTTTCTTGTTTTTCCTTTTTTTTTCTTTTGGCACATTCCACTCGCATCTGCGAAGAATAATCCACACGTTTGCGATGTGTTTTGTAGAAATGTTCGATCACACACGCTCCCTTCCGAGCAACACTTTCTTCTTCGTTACAACAGTCTATAATTATATCTAAATTTTCCAAAACCCTTAACTTTATCGTCACTGAATCATCAATTACAAAACTTCATCGTCACTGAATGATCGGTTACAAAAGATAATAATCCTGGCGAGGGAAAACATATTGGACTGCGTTATCAAAACCGCGCGTACAGCTCAATGAATGGCTCTAAGAATATCGTTATCGTAGAAAATTCGATTACGTTTTATCTAATGTAACTAAAATATCTTAAAGACTATACGTGTCCTTACAAAACAAACGTATTCTTTGGATATATAGTTGTACGTTCTTACAATATGCGTTTTCATATTTAACATATTGAGCACTGACGACCGTTTTATTTAAAGAATCATGTATAGGCCAGAGGTAATATAATATATCGCGGTATACATATATAAAATATAAAGAATAGACACGGGAATCAGATCAAGTATTACTTGATGATTTAGAAAAGATCTCTTTTTACCGACAGGCCGATAAATATATACGCGATTTGTCTTTTTTTCTCCGTATTTGTAACAATATATAGAAAACAAAATCTTATCTATTCCGAACATTGCACATCATTACTTGTCGTGTGTTTCCTAAATATTTTCCAGCCTCAAGGTATAGATATATATAACAAATAATCCTCCACATTAATACATGCTATATACGTGCTTCTATGATATTTACTACAAAGTATACAGGCCTGTGTTCTTCTCACACACATGGTTGCTAAGGAGAGAGGGATGGAGACTTTACAGTAACGTATTACTTTGGCAGACGTATGTACGTGAGTTTGAGCCATACATTCAACATTGGAATTTGATATATACGTCAGTTATATACTATCCTCATTCGTTAAACGTTAACGTTAATGTCTCGAGAAAATTGAGCCACGCTCTTTTCAATGATTATTTTTCATTTCCCCTTTCCGAGAAAAAAGCGTTTTTTTTTCATTAACAAGCGAATAAAGAAATATTGTCGACAATCGACAATCATATTCCGTTGGGAATGTAGTGCAGAAAAATGCAAAAAGAAGAAAACAGGCGTATAATCTATGCAAAATTAATTACGTCTACGTAAAATTTGGCATTTTCGATCACTTCTCGAAGATATGTTACTCTTACATTAAATAATTGCTTATTGTCGCTGTGACGTAAAAAACAAAAAAAAAGAAACTTTCGACGAAAAGTAAGAAACGTTCGAAGATCCTGTAGAATCAAAAGTGTGAACGGAAGGTCCAATTACGCAGCCTAAGAACGTGCGTAGTAGGCTTCGTTTCTACTTTTGACTTTACAAACACCGCATACATATATCTAACGCAACGTCCACGAACAAAAATATGTACTAACGGTCCATTTTGTAAGAAAGTCGGACTTTCCCCCGAACGGGAACTTCCTTACGGACTCTTATCTATTTTCGTGACGTAAAACATCCCCATGCTAAATTTAATATGAGGCTCAGATCAAGTTCTCGCTCGAACGAAAACTAAAATGCAAACTACGTAAAGAGAAATAAGATACTGGCATACATGTCGACGACACTTTCTACATTTCTTTCAACGCACACAGTTTTATATATATATATATAATCGTACTTGTGTGTGTATATAGATGTGTGTCATGAAATATTGCATTTCTTGCCACCGATAAATAGACCTCATTTCGGCTGTTTGTCTCTACGTCTTCTAAATACACATTATTATCAACATAAAACGCGTCATAAATATGTGATGTATCTTCTTATTTTGGTTTATCTTCGGCCACTACAACGCGTCTCTCAACGCGTGCGTGGAAAGCAAGAGTGAAAAAATCCACTTTTTATCAACGATTCATAATGATTGTGAGCTTAATAGGTAACAACATACTCTCGCGCTTATCTTCGTAAGACAGGATACGTTGCGTGCTTATTTACATCTTGGATGCATTGCAATTTCAATTACTCCCTGATTAGTAAGAGCTGGAAGAAAAAACTGCCTAATTCAGTTATTCAGCTGCCTAATTCAATTAATCTCCTCCAATTAAAAATATTTTAAAATATATAAGGTGCCCCATATTTTTGGCCAGTAGGCTGTATGCAGGAATATTCGTTAGAGAGAGAGAGAGAGAGAGAGATAGAGAGAGAGAGAGAGAGAGAGAAATGATAATAAATATTCACGATGAGCGTGTATAATCTTTGGAGCTCGATAACTTGCGTTTCTGCTTCTCGGAGCTGCTCTAATTCTTCAATGCAACACTGCGAATAGTTCGCACGAAACTTAAAAACGCACGTGCCATCTACGTGTTATCTCACTTTGAGTGATCGATTCGGTTATACTCAGGTATTCATATTAAAGTTACACTTTCTTGTGACACCGATTATCTCTCCGATACGATAACTAATTAGCGACGATCGCTTAAAATTAACCGCTACATTACGATGTTCCTATCGTCACGACGAGGTGACGATTTATCCATAATATTTCCCTTACATTCGCGCTTTCGATCACCACTTGAGCCGCGTATTAATTTCTACGTAAAACTGCAGAAAAGATTGCAGGGTATACGCCTTAGCATCCAATTCCTCCGCGTGTCGCAAAATGCTAAATGTAAAAAATCTCTCTTGCGCGTGAAGTGCACTAAGAACTTATCTGTACAATTGTCGTATAAAAAATTGCCCCCGTGTGTCCGTGCCAAAGGCTTGTTCCAACTTGGAAAGTAGGCTTACTATTTACGAATACTGTGTCGCGCGTGTGTCGATGAGAGGGATGCGTCGGAACATCTCCAGCTCTGGTTTACCCCGTGGCGCACCACGTGGTCTCTCTCTCTCGCGTGCGCTAAGAAACGTTTGAGGACCCAACTGAAGGATTCGACGAGTTCCAGAGGCTCAAACGTGGTCCACGACAAGCGGCCGGCAGGCGTATGCTCGTAAGAAACGAGAATAAGAAATTGACCAATCATATTCGAGCGTGAGGAGAATAACCGACTATGATTGGTTAATTTCTTACTCTTCCTTCCGATCAATGTGCTGGTGTTTCTTTTCGTGAGAACTAGGATTTTATCATGAAATAGAAAAAGAAACACGACTATTTTAAATCACAGAATAAGAACCGAAAAGAACCGTGGGCCGAAGAAAATTTAACGGTTCCGATCTTCGGTTCCGGTTCCGCAGGTTTGACAAAATTTCGGCTCTGCGGTTCCGGTGCGACGAAAATAACCGGTTTCCACACGGTTTTCGGTCCTCGAATATAAACATCCTACCGCTCATCGAGGACCACATCGTTTCACACGATGGAAAACCGCGGGATCAACCTTCCCCCTTCCCCTGCCGCCGCGCAGGAGCACGACGATCGTTCTACTACGAGCGCGGTCCGTGTACAGGTGTGTTTAAAAGAAAAAAAAAAAAAAAGAAAAAAAAACAAAATACGTTACTCACTCACTGACGAGTTGTGCTTGTACTGCACCGTCAGGTCGCTTATCGTGGAGTTGTGACGGGTCTTCCTGGAGCCCTCGTTGTCGTTCTTGAGATTCGTCGAGTTCAAGAGTGCGGTCGTTTTGTTGAAGTCTATCGTGGCGTAGCCCTTCTGCGGCTTGTTCGGCGACTGCGGCGGCAGCGGCGGCGCGGAGCTCGCCGCGCTCTCGGACGTGTCGGTCACGGGCATGTCCTTTATGTCCAGATCCAGAACGGCGTAATTCACCTCCCTGATCGGGCATGAGCTGGTCGGCGTGGACGGGGGCAGGGGCGACTTCTCGGCCACCGAGGCGCCGGAGTATCGGTTCCGCAGGCTCTCGATCTCGCTCGGGTCCAGGTTGGAGTAGTAATGCTTGTTGCCGTCCTCCACGTCCGCCTCCGACTGTAGGAAGGGTAAGACGGGCAACGGAGGCGGCGGCACCCTGATGACGTCGTTCTCGATGCACTCCCGCCCGGGACCGACGTTCATGTACTCGTGCTCGGAGGAGGATTCCGATTCAGCCGCTTCCTGGTTCTCCTCCTTGGGCGAAGTCGACTCCGAGATACTCTGCGTCGACGTGATCGGATTGCTCTCGCCGCAGATGTCGATGTTCACGTAAGGCGCCACCGGTAACGGTGGCTGCGACGCCGCGTCCTGCTGGCTGCCGGCCTCCGCGTTGTTGTTCTGAATGGATATCAATTCCGTTTCCACGATACCGCTGTCGGACGCCAGGCTCTTGCTGGCCGTGCCGGTGAGCTGCAGCGATCTGCGGTAACAGAAGGAGGCGCGTCAGGGCGATGAGTTTACTTTCGCACCTTTCCTGTGAGACTGTCAATCGTTACGACGCGGCATTTCTCATTTTATCTTTGGAACACGGAAGAATGACCACGGATTTGTCACTTCCGCATACAGGCGTGGCCTGCTCGAAAGAAAATTCCCCCGATTTTCCGAGAGATTTTTCCGAAAATTTCAGGTTAAAAATAAAAGTATCTTTAAATGTATCTCAGGTATCCGCTTTTTTTTCTTTCGCATCGTCGAACGCTATAGAGAAGGTTTAAACCTATCGATCGACTGGACACGTTGTCTAATTAATTCTCTCCTTGTATCGATTTCATTAATACGTCTGGAAATATGCTCAGGAATCAATTTTCATTCAAGCTACTCCTCCTACCTCTGCATCGCGCTGCCGAAGCTCTTGTTATTGTTACGCTCCACGGGGGTGGACGACCAGACTTCTTCATTGATGTAAAGGGAGGACGGATGGGTCTGCGAAATCGACGACGGTATCGATATAGGGGGTGGCGAGGGTGATCCCATGGTCTCCTGGGGTGACAGAGGGCCGCTGCTGCTGCCGACGCTGCTCGACCTAGCGACACCGTTCTGCTGGCTGTGAGAGAATCTAGAACCCGTACGGTTGTTACTTCTAGTTGGTGTCGGGTCCAAGTAATTAGGCTCTTCTGGTATTGTCACTCTGCATGATCTATTGGTGCTGGTTAATGGCGCAGCAGGATGGTAGCCGAGCGGGAGGTCTGACAACGCGTCGTCTCCGCCGTTGTCGAACGTCTGTCGGTGGAAAAGAACTTGCGTATTTCTTTATCCCCTACGTTAAAGATTAGCGATCTTGGCGCATGCCGACGCGTACCTGAATGTTCCTCTGCACGAGATTAAACAACTGCTGGGCTCTCTGACACTTGAAGGCATATATGGCGGGGCCGGTGAAGCAACGTCTGCCTGATTCGAAGCTGAATATACTCGCGTCGTATCCATACCGGCGTAAGCAGCGCAGTGACCACTTGATCGGTTGCTTGCCGCGCTGGTACAATATGAGCTCCACATCGGTGACCTCCAGTCGTCCGGGAGTGATCGAGTTGCCCAGGTCATCCACGTTCATAACTTGAAAGACGTTCGGATGCAGATCGTTGATGTCTGCCCTGCTATTGATGCAACCCATTCTTCGCTTATCTGTGGACACATCGGAGGCACAATTCGTAAGATCATTCGTCGCCCAACGAGATCGCTGTTTACGCATTAACGTCGGAAATTCCGATCAAAGGATGAGAGAGAGAGAGAGAGAGAGAGAGAAAGAGACGCTTAGGAGAAACGCGTGTTACGATTTCTCTCCTCTCTCTTTCTCTTTCTATCTCTCACTCGCTTTATCGCTCTTACGTATTCAACAATATCGTGATGAAGTATAAACGAGAGATAAAATTGTGCGTAGAATAATAACGATAACGATTGTGACGCGCGTGACAGGACAGAAGGAGACGCAAGCGAGAGAGAGGCTCACGGCTATCGTGGCGCGACAATTCGGGTTATACGCACCAAGTACGACATAGCCAAAACGAGAGGAGTCGTCCGACGATGAGCGTGTTGTTTCGCCTATCCCGTCGCCAACCGCATATTTCCGCGTGTCCGCGCTAATGCCACTTCACCATAGTACCCCGAAAATGAGCGACTCAGGTGTGACGGTGCGGAGGAACGCGCGACGAGACCGACGACGGACGCACCAGACGCATCATCAAGGCGACAAATGTAGGCACGTTTCGATTACAAATATTTGATAAAGCTTTAAAGGATCCGAGAGGGAGGTGGGCTCGGAGGGGGGAGGGACTTTCGGGGCGAGACGATCTCGGCGATCGAGACGCTCTCGCGCGTCATTTATCGGAAACATTGTCGTGTCTCGCGTGGCAAGTTGCCAGTTATCCGCAGCTCCCTGTATTACCGACCGGGCCGCAGCGCCGTTAATCTCGTTATCGATCAAGGGAATTCGAAACCGCAGTTATTCGCGGGTCATTCGCGCCTGCGATCGTCGGGGGAAGCACGAAACGCGCCACAAGCCGCGATTCGGGAATAATCGCACGGCGATGCAGGTAATGCCGCAATATTATTCTGACTTGTTAATCCGATAATCGGATCAGATTCGGGTATTGCCCCGATTTACGATGACTCCTCGGCGTAGAAAAGAGACGTAGACGAGTTGCGTCCGAGTCTTGAGCTCCTTGCCTTTAAGGTTATCAATTCTGCGCGTCGAATTTCTGCGTTAATTCCTCTGCCAAGGATGATATAGTGTATGATATGTGTGACGACGAGATAATTGATAATAATGGAAGAAAGTATGGAAATAAGTAGTTTAAAAGTTGGCGGGCACGGATGGATATTAATTATCAATATTTCCATCGGTTGGAAATAAATATACACACGACTATTTTGTGTAACATGGTTAAATATTCATACACGGAAGATATCGTACAGAGGAATTAACGCTCGCGTTATTTGAGCGTTATTAGAGACGCCGATACATTTATTTATAGATGCAGATTACACGATTAATTAATAAATTTGATTTAGCAAGTACTGTGACCCACATCAGTGGGTAAAGAGTACGGCCAATATATATATATTCACAGTTAGATTGGCGAGTACTTTAATCTGAAAGCAAAATCAGGTGCAAAATCGAGTAGAGAAAAACTGAGGGACATCCTAGCAAGCAACCTCTTTCTGCTTTTTATTTCTTTTTTTCGCGAAAGAGAGAAAGAAATTATTCTCACTCCGGGATAGGAATAATCGTACTTCGGATTATTGCGACCAATAGACTCTGACTAAATTCGGGACCGATGGAACACTCCGTTCTGACGTCGCCGAGACGCACTCGGCGCAAAAGCACCGAGTGCTTTTCGCGAGATAAAATCTTGGCGACCCGCGCGAGCGTCCAATCCGGTATAGACTGAAATAAGCAAGAAATGTGTACACAGTGCTCGCTAGTAGTGCTCGTTACTATTTCGAGCGAAAGGGACTTACATATAGGCACGTACGGAGAGCTTTATATAGCTGCTCCCTACGCCGGCTATGAATGGAATATAATTACAAATCGATTCCCCTCCAATCACAATGTCCCATCTCTCTCGTGGAAGGGAATCGTCGCCTGTTTGCGTGCGAGCTCTAGATTGTATTAACAGCGACCTTTTGGTCGATATCCTCTCGGCAACATCGTCGTCGTCGTCGTCGAAATCGTTATTTCGAAATAGTCCCGATCAATTAGGGCATATTTTTAACGACGGAGTTCAAATGCACGGCGTCTCCCCCCCCCCTCTCCCCCTCTCGAGTACGATTCGCCACGTTCGGCGTACGAACCAGTAGAAACCGTCAGCCTTTAGTCGGACACACGCCGGAGCGTGGCATACGTTCAGGGGCGGTCACACGCTCGCCTACACCCCTCCGTGTAACGAAACGTTCCGATCGAATTTTAGAATTCGGACGCAATGAAAGGGATGAAGAACGGAGAATATTTAAATACAGAGAATTACGAGCGAGGGATGAAGTTCCGATATACGGGCAACCACTCCTGAAAAACGAAATATCGAGGTTATTTTTCGTCCGTTTCGGACGACAACCCTCGCGGTTTGATAACGCGCAAGGGATACAAAAGGGAGTAATATCGCCGTCGGGCGCCGGTCGCACGTCACGTTCGACGCCGAACGCGCTAATTACACTTATCCATTACGCGGGCATGGAAAGGTACGCGCATACACCGGCGCTAAAAGACTACGCCGCGATTCGCCATCGATCGCCCGGAGCGCGTAACGCTTTATCGCTTATCAACATCGTAAATTGCCCCGTGGGAAATATTTAGCGAGCGCGAATCACATTCCTGTAATTATTCCTCGCGTGGCCGCGCGTAATTCCTCCCTTTCGGCTCCTCTCCGAAATTTATCCCGCGCTCATCATTATTCCCGTCGTCGGCTGAAATATGCAAAAGCACATCCATTTGGCTTAAGTGCGCGGGCTACGCCGAAATGCCGGGGGATTTCTTTTCGCGAAGGACGGACCCGGGCATGCCCCGCGTCGGGGACGCGCGCGAGCTTTGCAGGACGCGAGACCCTACTTCCTTCTGTTTTGGCAACCGGCCGTCGACAGTCCCCCTCCCAGAGGATAGGACACCATCGACGCGAGATAAGACGCCGCATCTCCGATGCGCCCGTGGCTTGACTCCTTATTCCTTAGAATTACGAATGACACAAAGTTACCGCGTGCGCATCCTCGGATTCTCAATAAATCCGGAGACGGTCGCACTCGATATCCTTCCGAGAAAAGTCTACAAAAGTAAAAGCTCTAGCGAATCTATCTACCTACGTTATAAATCGCAGCTATAACTTCTTAATCTCTTGCAAAAAATGCGGGATCAATGTAATTATCTGCTTTCCAGCCTCTTAAATCAAGCAATATTTCCATCAATTTTAGTATATTCTAATAAATGTAGTAAATATTTACTTCAACGCAGTAATGCCCTTAATTTGCAAACGAATTGCTGAATGTAAGCGGTAAAGTGGTTCTAAAGGCTTTCGCTAGGACGTTCCCCATAATTTTTTTCACCGCTCGATTTTCTACACAATTTTAGCATCAGATAAAAATACTTGCGAATCTGATTACAAATATGCATGCCTCAAGGTGTAACCATTTCACCGTTTCAGAGAAAATGGGAGATGAAGTAATCGCCATCTATCGGGATTGAAATCTTTGGATTTCCCATTTTCTATGAAACCATAAATCTTTACACCTTAAGACACAATATATATGTATATATATATTTGTATCAGCTTACGGCGTGTACTTTAAAAAGATTTCATATGACGTTGAGATCTTTTCTCCTCCATCTACGAGTACATCGTGACATCTACACGTAGTCTTTTACAGAGTTACGCGTTACTTTGAAAAATAACGGGTGACGCGTTACTTCCTAAAAACTATCGTAAAAGTGTTGTACGTATTTAAACAAGCGATTTATATTCGTTAACGGCTGCCCGGAGAAACGTAACGCGAGAATCGGATTTCTCCCTCGGCGAAGCGTGCCGATCACACAATTACACCGACACCGACGTCACCGCCGCCGATACCGGGCGTCATCGTCATTCCAACACCGGGGTGATATTTCGGAAAAGCGTCGTTTCGCACGCATCGAACGTTCGCGCGATGACGTCGATCGGGGCGCTCCGCTCCTTCGGACGGCGTCGTGGCCGTCGCGGGCTCACGGGGGCGGCGGCGCGAGAGCGACGCAGAGCGTCGGCTCGGAGCGTCGAAACGCCGGAAAACGTAAAACGTGTTTTATCGATTTCGTTACGTCGGCGGCCATGTTCACGTCCGCCACCGGTCAGGCGCACTCGTCGTCCTACCGCCGCCGCCGCCGCCGTCGTCGTCGTCGCGGAGAGGCCGGAGCGCACGGAATAGAGAGAGATAGAGAGAGAGAGAGAGAGAGAGAGATTTTCCGTAGCTCGTCGAACGCCGCAGAGCGTGTTTCGGGGCGCGATGCACCTGTAAAACCGCGCGAGCACCACCGCCGCAATCCCGGTGTTGCAGCAGGTCGTCTGCTTCGCGCGCGGGATTATTCGCAGGATCGACCCGCCGTGTCGCAGACCCGCAAGTAGTTACAGCCGAGCCGCGGCCCGCCGCCACCGCCGTCGAGTAACGCCCAGGGGAGGAAGTGCAGCGAGGGCAAAGCAGCTCCGGGAGCAAGAGTGCGTCACCGCAGCACGTCGTGAGTACCCATTTGCGCGCGGACGAACGACGACGACGAAGGGCTCTTCGTCCGCTTAGATCGAAGGCCAATCCGAGAGATCGCGGCGATCCGCCGCCGCGATATATACCGATACGTAGGTATAAAAATCAATCAATCCGGCGTATCTCGCGCGAAGACGCGCAGCCTCGCTCGATTCCGCTCGCGGCAAAATCGCGTGTACGATCGTAATCTATCTCGATTATTATCCGTGCGTGTGTGCGTGTGTACGTGTATAGGAACGCGCGTGTGTGTGATCCGCGCGTTTTATTCCTTCCCGAGTATCGCCGAGGGTGGCACAGATTTCATGGGGAGGGTAAACATTTTCACCGCCGAGGCGGCGGAGCGTTTCCTCCGCGTCTCGACTCCCACGGCCGTCGTTCTCCTCCTTCCTCCGTCGTACTTCCGCATTCCGAGTTCTCTTATCCGCGAATCGTGCTGCGGTCTTCATGCGCAATCTCTCTCTCTCTCTCTCTCTCTCTCTTTTATGGACGAGTCGCCCTTGTCGAAAAGAGCAACGAAAGTCACGGATTAGGCGGATAGCTGCTATTATTAGCTGCAACCGATCTTGTGGGTAGAAAAAGGGGTATAAATAGAAAGAGAGAGAGAGAGAGAGAGAGAGAGAGAGAGAGAGATTCGTCATGAACGATGATGAGCAAGGTATAGGATAGAAGGAATTATCTCGTATCTCGGATTTCCTGCACAGATTCTTGACAGAGTCGATCGATTAGCGCCGATAAAAATAAGTACGGAACGGGCGAAACGGGTGGTGGCCGAAAATCGCGAGATAACTTCTCGATTCGCTTCGTTTTATTCGCTCGACTCGACGGCATTTCCATCGATGCACTCCTGTCGGATACGATCCTTGAAAGCGTATGACGAAACGGATATCTCGGAGGCAATTATATATATCTAGGAAATAATCTGATCTATCTATCCATCTCTATCTCCCTCTGCCTGAGCCGTAATAATTTCCTCCGCTATGTTCGGTCGAGCACCATCGAGATACTCGAGTACGAGAGTGCTCGA